CCCAGCGTGGATAGATTGCGCATTCGGAGAGAGAGAGAGAGAGAGAGAGAGAGAGAACGAGAGAGTCAACGAGAGAGAGAAAGAGAGAGAGACAGGGAGACTGGGACAAGAGAAGAACAGATAACGAAAGAGAAGAGAAGGAGAGAGAGAGAGGCGATAAGTGAGAGCGAGAAGATTGGCAGGATGATGCCGGCAACTCCCTCGCCAAGAACATCGCAAAGCTTTGCCTGTCCTTCGAAGAGGAGCTGGTGAAGGGCAGAAGGCGAAACACAAGTGTGGGAATAGACCAGTTGGAGACCTTGCTGCTGGTGACTGCCGAACCTTTCCACAATGTCATGGAGAGCCGGCCTCGTCTCTGCAATGCGAGGAGCACAAACCTGGGCAACCTGCTCCCGACCGTGATGGATCCGCCATCAAAGTTGTGGATGCTGCCTCACCAGGACTGGCAATTACAAAAATACCTTTAGCCATCAACCCCAGATGTTTAAAACTGTAAATGTAACTCCGGTAACACCGCAGCACTACTGAAGGAGAAGCTCTCCATGCTGGGCCCTTTTCGAGTTGCTGTTGGCGGCAAAACTCCGGGCTACGATGCGTCCCAGAAGTCCCAGAGCAAGCTGGCGCTCGAGCCGTGCTTCTACCACGAGCGTTCGAAGGAGTTCTATCAGGAACTGCTGCATAGCTACAATGTTGGCACGATCTTGGATTCGGCCCCATCAGCAGGAACACTTGCATTCCTGGCAGCATTGAATCGGATCCCTTACTTCGGTGTCACGCTGACGGAGGAGCATCAGACCCGATTGAAGGAACGATTGTGTCACATGCTGCTTGAAGAGTTCATGAAGGAGAACTCCACCGTGTATGATGCCAAGTTTGCGGCCGCCATCAGCAATGCCGGTGCAGGTGCCGCTACGGGTGCCGCTGCGGGTGCCGATGCGGGTGCCGCTGCGGGTGAGAACACGGGGACGGCTGCCGGCTCCGCTCAGCAAGCTTCCGGTCAGCAGCAAGCTGAGCAAGATGATGGCTTGGCGGAGATGGAGGCCGGAGAATGTTAAAGTGAAGTCATGAAGCCTAGAGAAATATCTTCAGGGAATGACATTTTCAGGCATGCAGGTCAGTATTAAGGTTTTGATGCTGTAGCCGTGGATCAGACCCGTGAAGGGGGCAAGACATTGAAAGCCATTCAATTGCCTTATGCTCCCTATGCGTCACGTGCCATCGCAGGCAGCCCTCATGGCGCTGGAAGGTTGATCCTGTGGTGTGAGCACTGAAGTTCGTGCCGGGCAGGTTTTTGATCGCAAGGCGCAAGATTCACCCAGGACGCAGGTAGAAACTTGAAGCTCAGCGATTGGGACCAATTATTAAGCTCAGACGCCTTGCAAGCATGCCTGGTGCCGGTTTTGGGTACAGCCGGCTTCAGCGCAGGTCCGCAGCAGAACCATTCAATTCTTCAAAGTACGGCTTACACCCCAATTCCTATCGCAAGCTGCGCTGCCGAAGTCGGGTCTTGATCATCTGGTGTGAGCTGCAGAGTAGATGGGCCGGGCAGATTTTGCTGCCGAGGCTGAAGCTTCATATAATAAGAGAAACTAGCAGACTTCAAGCTGTACCCATGAAAAGTCCTCGCGACAATGCCCGGCGCCAGATACTCGTGTGAGCACTGAAGTTCGTGCCGGGCAGGTTTTTGATCGCAAGGCGCAAGATTCACCCAGGACGCAGGTAGAAACTTGAAGCTCAGCGATTGGGACCAATTATTAAGCTCAGACGCCTTGCAAGCATGCCTGGTGCCGGTCTTGGGTACAGCCGGCTTCAGCGCAGGTCCGCAGCAGAACCATTCAATTCTTCAAAGTACGGCTTACACCCCAATTCCTATCGCAAGCTGCGCTGCTGAAGTCGGGTCTTGATCATCTGGTGTGAGCTGCAGAGTAGATGGGCCGGGCAGATTTTGCTGCCGAGGCTGAAGCTTCATATAATAAGAGAAACTAGCAGACTTCAAGCTGTACCCATGAATAAGTCCTCGCGACAATGCCCGGCGCCAGATACTCGGCACAGCCGGCTTCAGCGCAACTCCATGGCAAGACTGCCTGACTGCGTCGCGCAAAGGCAAAAAAGCTGCATTGGTCCATGCTGGAGCTTTCGCGCGAACGCATCATGTTGGACTGTAGAAGCAGTCTTCCAGCACGCTCAGGTTTGGCTCGCTGGATTGGGACGAGGCTCGTGGCAACAGAGGGCTTCGCGTAGGACCACGTGCTGAGTGAACTGCGATTCATGCTGCCGAGGTCTGTGTTACATTGTATCCGCATTTTTAAACTCTACATCCTATGCCTCAAGCTGTGCCCCACAAGCCAGGATCCCACGTCATCGTTGGTTTCTTGTTGCATTGAAGCATGCAGTCTTCATGGACAGTGAAAGTTAGTGGCAAAGCTGCCGGAAGGGGGATGTCGCAGTGGGTCTTTCCTTCAATTTGCGTCTGCGTGCCGCACTCACCACTTCTGCTGTTGCTTCCTATCCAGCGTGGGCATTAGATTTGAAGATTGGTGTCCGCCTTCTGATGGGCTCGAGGATTTGTTTTGGATGCATAGCAGGGAAGCCTACTCTGCTTGGATTGAACCATGGGCCCGCGCAAAACATGTCCGAAAGCCGCTTCAAAGAAAGTGCGAAAGAAGATTGTCAAGCCTGAAGCTGGCGATACATGTGTGCCCGCCTCTCAGAAGCCTGCGTTGGGCAAGAGCTCTGGCCGCAAGAAGCCGGCGCGCAAGAAGCCTGCGTGTGCCAAAGGTTCCACAGTTGAGAACTCGGCCCATCAGAAAAGTCAGACTGGCAAAGGCTCTGCCGCTGCGAGGCCGGCGCTGGCCGCAAAGTGTCCAGAAAGGCAAGTGATGTTAGGGCAAACCCCGCCGCGACTGCCCAACAAGAACGTGATTCGGGTGGCGTCAGATTGTTCTGGCCTTTGCCCAGAAGGAAGGGCTGCAGCGACGGCCTCATCTGGCGCTTTTGCGTGCCAGCATGCCTTTGCTTCGGAAAAGTGCCCCAAGAAGAGGTCCCTGGGCGCATTAGGGTGTTCTCATGTTCTCTTTTGTTTCTTTTAATCAGGGGCTGATCGTGCTCGCCTTTGGAGGTCCTACATCCAGGCCGTGATCAAGCCGGAAGTGCTCAGCCCAGACATGAAGGACGCATCCCAGCCAGAAACGTGGCGCCTGGTAGACCTTTACGGATGCGGCTTCCCATGCCAACCATGGAGCAGTGCTGGAAAGCAAGAAGGTTCAGACGACGAAGATCGTGGGCGTTTCTTCAAGGACATCTTCCGCCGCATCGCAATAGGCAAGCCTCGTGCCTACCTGTTGGAGAATGTGCCCGGCCTCGCCCAAGGCTTTCCGGACAAGTTCAATATCATGATTGACATTCTTCGCAAAGTCAACTCAGCT